TCTCTCTAACAGCAGCCACCAGCAAACCACTTAACCCCTGGGCTCCTTCTTCCCTTCAACCAGAGCAACTACCCTCCTTTTCATTTTCCTTTTTTCTTTTTTGAGACAAGGTCTCACTCTGTCACCCAGGCTAGAGTGTAGTGGCACTGATCTCGGCTCACTGAAGTCTTCCTGCCTACGGCGGTTTAAGCAATTATCCCACCTCTAGCCTTTGGAGTAGCTGGGACTACAGCATGTGACACCACAGCCGGTTAATTTGTATTTTTGTTAGAAATGGGATTTCACCATGTTGGCCAGACTGGCCTCAAAATCTTGACCTCAAGTGATCCGCCTGCCTTGGCCTCCCAAAGTGCTGGGATTACAGAAATGAGCCAACACGCCCAGACAGAAATGTTAAAATTTTATTTTAGTGCCAATTTAAATCTAAAAAGCGTAACCTAAGCAGACTCTCTATCATCTGGTTGACATCCTTATAATCAACTATTGTGGAGTGGTTCCAGTTTCCAAGGAAACTACTGTTTATTATCGTATCAGTGACAAATGACTTCCCTAATAACAAATTTTAACTTTTAATGCTGCATTTTTTAACTAGTTCCCATCGCTCTCAGGAGTTAGAAGATATATTTTCAGATGTATTATAGAAATTAGTTTTTGTCTAAATAAGTTTTTTACATAACTCAGCTGAAGAAACCCTGGCCTAAAAGATGAAGTTCAGCTTTCTTGGACTTTTTTTCTTTTTTTTTCTTTTTTTTTTTTTTTTGAGATGGAGTCTCGCTCACTCTGTCGCCCAGGCTGGAGTGCAGTGGTACTATCTCAGCTCACTGCAACCTCTGCCTTCCGGGTTCAAGTGATTCTCCTGCTTCAGCCTCCCGAGTAGCTGGAGCTACAGGCACCCGCCACCACACCTGGCTAGTTTTTGTATTTTTAGTAGAGACAGGGTTTCACCATATTGGCCAGGCTGGTCTTGAACTCCCGACCTTCTTATCCACCCACCTCGGCCTCCCGAAGTGCTGGGATTACAAGTGTGAGCCACTGTGTCTGGCTTCCTTGGACTTTTTATCTGCACTGAAGGCACTCAGTGGTTCAGACCACCTACTTCTGCTCTACCTTTGGACATCCTGGCCATGTGCCACCCCTCAGCCTGACCACAACACCTGCAGTGCCCCAAACACACCATGCAGTTTCATGCCTTTACACCCATTTCCTCTCCCTAGTCAACACACCTGGGTGACCCCTATTCTACCCACTCAGACAGGACAGGCTCCATGACCTTTCTGCAACTCTATTTTTCTCATCTAGAAATAGAGTTAGTGACATCTACTTCTCTAGCAGATGTTTAGGAATGAGATACGGTGTGGAGAGCACCTGGTGGGAACACAGCGCATATCTGTGATAGTGACTGTTAGCCGTTATCCTCATCACCACATCCTTTCCCCACACCTCAGATAGTGTCATAGTCTACCACCTCAGAGAGAAAATAGAAAAGGGAGGTCCCAAACTTCCTGCTCCATCACCTACACCTGCCCCTCCTGATCTGTTTCCTCTGATTTCAACAAGCAGGTATTCTTTCTCCTGTCTCAGGCTAATTCTGCAACCACATTGGGGAGCCCCCCACCCCAGCTTCCCTCGGGCTTCTCTATTTGGTCAATTCATTAATTCATTCATTCGACAAGGATCCATGAACGCTAACTATGTGCCAGTCACTATTCCAGGTGGTGGAGTCACAGAAGTGAACAAAACAGAAAGTTCTCATTCAAAAACAACACAACTTGTGGTAGGAGGCAGACAGGAAACAAAATAAGTAGTAATATATATGATGTGTTGGATGATGATAAGTGCTCAGCAGAGAAATAAACCTGGAATAGCAGAACTAGCATTTCTTTCCAAAGGGGTCTTTTTCTGTTGTTCAGGCTAGAGTGCATTGGAGTGATCATAGCTCACTGCAGCCTAATTTTTTTGAAAGACAGGGATCTTGCTATGCATATTGCCCAGATTCTTGAATTCCTGGCTTCATGCAATTCTCCTCCCTTGATCTTTCAAGGCCCTGTGATTATATGTGTAAGCCCTCGTGCCCTGTTGGAAGTTACAGTTTAAAATAGGGTGGTTACAAGAAAGGGGAGCGAGGCACAGAATACCTGGGAGAAAAGCATTCCAAGTTGAGAGAACAGCAGTGCCAGAGCACAGAGTCAGAAGCACTGTGGTATATGTGAAGAATAGCAATGAGGCTGGGGTGGCCGGAGCACACAGGGTGACCAGGAGAATAGGAGGTGACAAAGCCAGAGGGGGTTGAGGGCCAGATCACATATGGCCTTGAAAGTCATCATGCTGACCTGGGCTTTACCTCTGAGAGGGGAGTCACTGGAAGGTTAGAGCAGATAAAGGACTGGACTTACTTAGGTTTTAAGAAGTTACTTCACATGCTAGACTGATATGGGCTGTGGATAGGGCTGGTGGATGGAGGCCTGAAGATCCAGCTGGGAGCTACTGCAGTGATCCAGGGGAAAGATGCAGATGACTTGTACCAGGGAGGAGCCATGAAAATGTTATGATGCTGGATTTATTTTCAAGACAGAATAAAAAGACTTTGCTGATAAATTTACGGGTGGGGTGTGAAAAAGAAGGGCATCAAGGGTGACCACAAGGTTTTGGTCCAAAGAAACTGTACAGATGGAGTTGCCACTTACTGAGATGGGGAAAATGAGGGAGAAGCCGGTTGTGGAGGCCAGGGCAGGAGCCAGCACAGAATCCAAAGGTCACTTTTGGATATATTCAGGTGGAGGAGCGTACTAGAGATCGCTGCAGAGATGTAGAGTAGGCCGGTCAATAATAAGTGTGCAGTCCAGGCAATGGGTCAGGGCTGGAAACACAAGTTATTCTCTTTATATTCGTGTTTGTTGCCACTGCCTGTTTCACTTACCTAATGCATCAGTGATTTATTGCTGCATAACAAATTACCGCAAACTTAGTGGTTTAAAACAGCATACTTCTCCAGCCTGGCCAACATGACAAAACCCCATCTCTACTAAAAACGCAAAAAATAAAAGATAAGAAATTAGCCTAGCATGGTGGCACACACCTATAATCCCATTTACTTGGTAGGCTGAGGCACAAGAATCTCTTGAACCCAGGAAGCAGTGGTTGCAGTGAGCCAAGATTGTGCTACTGCACTCCAGCCTGGGCAATAGAGCAAGACTCTGTGTCAAAAATAAATAAATAATAGTACACTTTCATCACTTCAGTTTCTGTGGGTCAGAAGTCCAGGCAGAGCTTAGTGGGCTTCTCTAATCAGAACTTCACAAAGCAAAAGTCAAGGTGTTGGCCAGGCTATAGCCTCATCTAGAGTCTTGACTATAGGAAAATCCTTTTTCCAGAAAACTCAGGTTGTTGACAGAATTTATTTATTTACAGTTGTGGGACTGAGGGCCCCAACTCCCTGCAGGTTGGGGCTGGAGGCTGCTCTCAGCTCCTACAGGCCTTCTTAGCTCCCTGCTGTGTGCATCTCCCAGGATGACTACTTTCCTATTCAAAGCCAGCCAGGAAGACAGAGCCTCTGGAGTGGGTCAGCTAGCAAGACAGTCTTACACATCATAATGCAATCATGGAAGGGACATCCCATCAGCTTTACCATATTTTACTGGTTAACGGCAAGCCATAAAAATTGTTCCTGCCAGGTAGAATAACTTTCCAGCCATCAAATCCAGTATACACACTGTCCTTTCTCCATCGACCTGAGTAAATCTTCCTGCCTATTTGGCATCTGCTTCATCAGTCCCCAGGGTCCTCTTTTGGTCTTTCCCTATTCACGGATACTCCTCAGAATTCTTGCTCTACTTGCTTCATAACTGCTGATATTCCTTTACGCTTTGGTCCCAGGGTGGGCTACTGTACCTCCAGGTCCAAAGTCTATGTTCTAGGCAAGAGGAAGAAGGAAGTAGGGAGAGTGTACCCTCACACTCCCAGCTATTTTGGCCTCCCTTTGAAGGATTTCTGGGAGAAGTGCAAGCCCACAACTTTCACCTACAAACCATTGGCTCCAACTTAGTCCCTTGGCCTCCCCTATCTACAAGGGGGAAGAGCAGGTTGCAGCACCCAAGAAAATTAGGCCTTATCACTAAGAAGAAGGCAGCATGCACGCTGCAGAAGCAACCAGCCATCTCAAGCAGACACCATACAGCCTAAATTCAAACTGTTGCAATATAATCAAATCCCATCCGCTCCAGTCATAATAGCCCTAGGAGCTTTCTGGCTTGCAACCCAAAAAAGTGTGTTTTGAGGTCCTAAGCCACAGGGAGAACCAGATTGTCCTATAAACTCCTTACAAGATGGTGTAAAGGAAATGAGCCTTACAGAGACCACAGCCTATGGAGTGTTCAGCTTCAGAGAATATGTACTCCACTGGCAGCATGAGAAACAAATACACAAGAAAATACAATATAGCATAAACCAGGAGCTGAGGGTGAATGAAGATGCTCAGAAAGATCTGCATTAAGAATTTTCTGGGAAACGTAAAACAATGTCAAGCAGCACTGCCTCTGGAAACCAGAAAAACTATATTATTTGATAACATATCCTAAGCCTAAATGCCAGAGGTTCTTAAAGAGGTGCAGTTTGTCTCATTTTCTTTCCATTTGTACCTTTATTTGGCTCTGTAAAAAAGATCCTCCTCTTCTACGTACCTATCTACATGCAAGCAAACTGCCACAGAAGCATTTTAATTAGTGTACATCTTCCTCTCTTTGCACATTTAATTTTTTTATTTTCCTACTCCATTCTGCTAATATTTCTATCATGATATAAAAGACACAAGACAGGTGAATATAAAGAAATACTTATATACATCCACACACAAGAACGGTTCAAATAGATAAACACAGAAACACAAACACTAAGGGAGATAGGGCTGGAGTTTTTCTTCAACATGTACAATTCAATGTACTTTCGGTTTTCGTTTCAACCTTCCTTAGTGGCTTCTGCCCAGCAACTGATGAGAAACATTACCTATGAGCCAATCAAAAAACTATTTGTTCCAAAGAGCCACTCTGTTACTGTTTCTGATGGTTAGAAGACAATATTTGCTTTCTCTTTTTCATTTCTTCCGGATGAAAGGCTAAGCCGTAATAGAAAGAATGGAGAACTATTCATTGACCATCTTTATTCTGTGGGCTCTGATTCTCCCATGGGAACACCAAGGGGTAAGTGCGGGAAATGGTTTAGAGCCTGGGCTACAACGCCTGGGAGGAGTGGGGCTGAATCGCTGAGAGTGGTGAGTGGGCATGCAGGGAGAGTACTCGCCCAGAGAAACGGGTGCGGTGCCTCTGTGTGTGTGTGTGTGTGTGTGTGTGTGTGTGTGTGTACATGCACACACCTGCACATGCACGTATGGGCACATGGGAAGACAGGAGACGTACTGCAAAGAATAAGAAACTGCAGAGGTTGGGATTTAGTGGAAGGAAAGGGAGACAACATGAATGAAGAAATATTCCAACTGCATCTTCTTAATGTATTGTGGTCAGAAAGGGGAAAAAAAAAACCCTTAAAATCTGTTCTGGTCAACTCAAGGCATCTATTCTAAGAGATTCTGAAGAAGGAAAAAAAAAGAGAAGTACCTTATAGATTTACATGTAAATGTGTTTATTACAGAAGTATTTATAATATAGTAAAATCTGAACCAACATTCATATACAACAGGTGGGGAATAGACAATGCATGGTTCAGTCATAAATATGTTCCATGTAACCATTAGGAATCATAATTTTAATTAAGTGAAATTCTTTATAATTTTAATAACACTGGATCCTTATATTAAACCATTTTTGGTATCTTTTAGGGATAGTACTTGGTTTTCTTTCCATTCATCATTTCCCCAAAACCTAAAGTATGCTTTCCCATACAAGCTACTACATTGTATGAATATATAATAATTGAGAGTCTCTCTGAGCCTACTCTGACTCAGAAAGCTGCTCCTAAAGAAGAAAAAGAACAAACAAACAAACAAAAACCCCAATTGTTTTTTAAACTCTTTATTTTGGATTTTTGAGTTTCTGCATTTTGTTACTGTAGATTTTACTAGATTGAACAGCCTTAACCTTAAATATTTGCATCAATCTCTACATTTTTTTCTTCAATGCTAACTTTTATAATTGGAATTTTGAGGGCAAAAGATGCAACATTTTAAAAGCCCTTGCCATGTATATATGGCCAAATGCTTCCAGAAACATTTCCACTTCCATTAGCAAAGTATATGATTATAACTACAGAGTATTTAAGGTTTTATTCCTTTTATATTTTTTCATTGTCAAAATTGTCTATAGTAGAAAGAATGAATAATAAATAACCTAAAATTAAAAGTTCTCCCTCTGAGGACAGCAGAGAAATTTTTAGCTTAGGGACTAATAATAATAATACCTCCTTTTCTTTAGGAGCATAAAGAGCAGTTTTGAGAAGCAGAAGATGTGGTGAAATATAATGTTTAGTCTGATAGTGGGTGTAAGATCCAGGCAGGGGTGGAGCATGACCAGCTGCACAGACCTCTGTTCCCTTGCTTCCTCTGCATCTGTCCCCACCTGCCTCTGCAGATCTTGTTCTCAGAGGCCATTCCCAGACCCACAGCAGCTGGTATTATGGCTACAGGCCTCATGCTCCTTTGTTTTGGGAGAAACTGTTGAGGAGTTAGTATTTACTGAGCAACTAATATGTTCCAGTCTCTATTATTCCTCATAATAATTATTAATTGTTAACTAATACATGAAAATTTTAAATTTAAAGCATTCCAACAATTTTAAAAGTAAAGGAAGCAAAAGGCCAAAGTGTCCTTTCACTCACTTAACTTCCAATCTTCAGTTTAGCATTCCTTTTTTTAGGCTTTTTAGGCATTTACATATATAGTTTTGCAGAAATATATAGCTTTGCTTTTGTTTTTCAATTGAATCATTAGTATAGTTCTACAAGGTACTTTTTGATCACTTAGTATATCTCCATTGTCCAGGCTAGTGACATTAAATCACTCTTTTTAACTGCTGCATTGGATTTCCTTATAGGGATGTATCATATCCCTATGATATGTGGAAGACAGGCAGATGTATCATACATCTGTATCATAGGGATCCCTCTAACCAGTCTCTTGTGGGTGACTGGTTCAGTTGGTAACCACTTTCATACTTTAAAAATAGTGCTGCAGCGTCATTCTCGCAGAGGCTTCTCTCTGCACCCATGCAAGTACTTTGCTGCAGTAGGCATCAGGAAGTGGAATATTGGGGCCAATTGTGCACATTCTAAGTCTCATACTTGATATTTTTGAGTAACTACAGTTTAAATGGTTTTGTCCCATGACCAAGATCATCAAGCTTGTGACTTCTAGAGCCTTTACCTATTGTCTACCCTCTTTGTGTCCCTAACTCTACCATAGTGGTCCAGCCCATTGTGGGTGCTCAGTAAATATTTGTTGAATAACTTTATGAAGGGAAGAAAGAAAAGATGAGTAAGGTCTGGTCCTATTCAAAGCTCTCCCAATCAATGTCTTTGTGATTAAATGTGGTGGGTTCAGCCCCTGAATGACTTCAGAGCCTCCACCAGGCAATCTGCCTGGATCCCACCAGGAGCCACCAGGCCATGAGTTGACCATGATAATGGCCAAGAGTTTGACCCTTGAGGAGTCCACAGTGTTGGACACCCATAGAGTTGAACAAGGGTGGAACCAGGGAATCCAGTGAAGAGGGTCCTTCATAAATCAGAGGGGGATGATGGAAGCTTGGACCTAGCAAGGGAAGTGTGGGGAAGTGATAGGATTCTGAATATTTTAATGCAGTAGAGTCAGAGATTTCCTGATCAGATAACAGATATTGCTTTTACAGATGGTTTTCCATACTGGAACTCAAAGGTAAAGACATTCAAGGACAGACATTCTTGGCAGAGGTAAGATCTTCTTCGGTTACCATACTTGAGTTAGCCCTGGGGAAGTGGACGTTTCCACGCAGAATCCTATAGCTTCTTCCAGGCCACAGTGTCTGTCTCACACCTTCTAGTGTCTCTTGATATGCAGCATAGATGAAGATGGCAAGTTCCCTGGCCTTCCTTCTGCTCAACTTTCATGTCTCCCTCTTCTTGGTCCAGCTGCTCACTCCTTGCTCAGGTAGGGAACGATTCCATGATTCCACATTTATGTTTATGAAGTAGATGATTACCTCAGTTATATAATTAAGCAGACAATTACCTAAATGCCCTCTTAGAACCTTTAACTCCTTCCTATACCTGAAGTTCATCCCAACCTGAAGGATCATGTGTCACTAAGAGACAAATGGTGCTTCTGTTAGGAATGGTTTCCCCTCTAGGTTCTCTGTATCTCGCCTTCCCTGTCTGAGAAGCACCCTTCCTCTCATGACCCCAAATCCAAAACCCTCTGATGGAGCCTCCCCCTTGTGCCAACAGCTCAGTTTTCTGTGCTTGGACCCTCTGGGCCCATCCTGGCCATGGTGGGTGAAGATGCTGATCTGCCCTGTCACCTGTTCCCAACCATGAGTGCAGAGACCATGGAGCTGAGGTGGGTGAGTTCCAGCCTAAGGCAGGTGGTGAATGTGTATGCAGATGGAAAGGAAGTGGAAGACAGGCAGAGTGCACCATATCAAGGGAGAACTTCGATTCTACGGGATGACATCGCTGCAGGGAAGGCTGCTCTCCGAATACACAACGTCACAGCCTCTGACAGTGGAAAGTACTTGTGTTATTTCCAAGATGGTGACTTCTATGAAAAAGCCCTGGTGGAGCTGAAGGTTGCAGGTGAGCCTCCAGGTTTGGTTCTGAGAACATTTCTCCGTAGGATCTAGAGCAGATGCAGAGTTCCAGTTCCTCTTTCAAAAGCACTGCAGACACTCCTGGCTGATCACTAGCGATTGCCTGCACTGCCTTCCAGCTTAGCTTTTCTGCGACCCTTGAGAAAGACACAGGTTTTCCTTTAGGAAGAATTCTTGCTGTACCCTACATGCTCAAGTAAATAACTCCTTTCCTCTGGCGACCAGAAATATAAGGAAAGTGAAGGACAAGGGATAGGAAACATTAGAAACCATCTCTTCAGTGACTGGTACACCATCATTTTGGTTTAGTTGTGTAACAGACGGCTTCTGTTGTGTCTCCAACCTTAATCAATCTTATGTAGGAAGAAGGAGACCAGGGTGAGACTAAAGCTGTAATTGATGAAGGGCTGCAATCCCTGATTGTTGATGGGGGATGTTTGGTCATTGCTGTGGTTTGCACAGTGTTCATGCTTTTCTCTATGCTCACACATGATGTGGGATGGTCTTGTTTTTCCCATGATCCATCATAGTCACAAGATGCATTGTCTGTGTTCTGTGAAATTGCTTATGTTCAACAGGATGACACGGAGACCCGGTGTCAGTTTCCCTATGTTGGAACAGCTTTTCTCTTTCTCAGTGCAGTCCCTTGCCCTGTGGCTTCTGGTTGGGTTTGGTTTAAGAGAATCTGCAGCAGACAATCGTAGGAAGAGAAGAGGAAGAAGTCTGGGTGCTTATTCCCTGGCTTCCTTGCTGCAAGGTACCTTCAGGCTGGCTGCATTGCCTTGCTGAAAGTAATAGCTCCTCTAAAGGAAGTCCTCAATGCATGAATCTCTTCTTTTACGTATTCAAAACAGCTTCCTCTCCTCCTCCCTCTGGTAATTGGTGTGGGTGGGAATAGCTACACATTACTGACCCTGGGATACTGCACTAGCAAATTTAGTTTTCCCCTCATCATAACCACACTTTTGTAAACAGCTCCTGAATGAAATCTCTCTTGAATTATCAAATCTGAGACTGCCATTGATTCCCATTAAGACCCTCCTTAATGCAAGAGCTATCAAGAATCTAGGCCAAATTATCCTTCCACAGCACTGGGTTCTAATCTTCATGTTGAAGTGAAGGATTATGAGGATGGAGGGATCCATCTGGAGTGCAGGTCCACTGGCTGGTATCCCCAACCCAAAATACAGTGGAGCAACGACAAGAGACAGAACATCCCAGCTGTGGAAGCACCTGTGGTTGCAGATGGAGTGGGCCTATATGCAGTAGCAGCATCTGTGATCATGAGAGGTGGCTCTGGGGAGAGTGTGTCCTGCATCATCAGAAATTCTGTTCTTGGCCTGGAAAAGACAGCCAGCATTTCTATCGCAGGTCAGTACGTGCTTGGCGTCAGGTTTCTGAGCTGAGCTGTGGCAGTTGAATGAAGGGGGATGTGTTAGTATCTGTGGTCGACCTGGGTCTCTGCACTGAATATAAGGCCCAAAGCACAGATCTGGAGGCGCCGCCTTGTTCCAGGGGAGCTTCTTTCCTCCATAAAGGTGTTCACAACACAAACATTTTCTGAACATTTCCTATCCGCCAGAAAGTATGACAGGCAATGGGAGGGAATTGGGGGAAAAACATTCAGATAAGCTCCTTATATAACGTCAAATGACAAAATGGTATATATATATACACACACACACACACATACATACATATATATATATATACACACAGACACACACACAAACTCTTATCATAGTGAAACAGCTGATCTCCTTGAATAAGAAGGAGATTCTAAAAACCTAGTAAAAAGTTTTGGCCAGGCATGGTGGCTCATGCCTGTAATCCCAGCACTTTGGGAGGCTGAGGCAGGCAGATCATTGAGGCCAGGAGTTTGAGACCTGCCTGGCTGTGGTGAAACTCCATCTTTTCTAAAAATTCAAAAAATTAGCCAGGTGTGGTGGTGTGCACCTCTAATCCCAGCTACTCAGGAGGCTGAGGCATGAGAATCACTTGAACCCAGGAGGCAGATGTTGCAGTGAGCTGAGAGCAGACCACCGCACTCCAGCCTGGATGACAGAGTGAGACCCTGTCTCAAAAAATAAATAAAATAAAATAAAATGAAAATCTAGTAAAAAAATTTTTAACAAAGTTCATGAATTATCAATTCACAGAAAAGGAAATAACCCACAAAAGAGTGCTCATTCTCATTCATTAGGGAAACATTTGAAATCATTTTTCACTTACGATATTTACAAAAATCAAAACGAAACTGCTTTGGCTTATAATACATGGTTCTCATAGGAATGTAGGAAGGCAGTGACTCTCAGTCATTTTTTCGTGTAACTTGCTGTATTTTTGGTGTGCATTAGGTCAACCTCTATTGAGGGCTCTATAGCAATATCTATCCAAACTACATACTTATCGATCCAAACTTCCACTTCTAGGAATTTATCTGATAGATAAGCTTGCATTTGTATGAGATGATCTATGCAAAAGGTTTCTGTTTTTTGTTGTGTGTGTGTTTTTTTTTTAGACGGAGTCTCACTCTGTCACCCAGGCTGGAGTGCAGTGTTACAATCTCGGCTCACTGCAGATTCCGCCTCCTGGGTTCAAGTGATCCTCCTGCCTCAGCCTACCGAGTAGCTGAGATTACAAGCGTGTGCCACCACATCCAGCCAATTTTTGTATTTTTAGTAGAGATGGGGTTTTACCATGTTGGCCAGGCTGGTCTCGAACTCCTGACCTCAAGCGATCCACCCGCCTCAGCCTCCCAAAGTGCTGGGATTACGGGCATGAGTCACTGCAACCGGCCTGTAAAAGATTTCTTATAGTACTGATTACGATTGCACAAGGTTAGAAACTATGCAGATGTTCACTGCCAGGGAACTTCCATACAAGGGAATACTGCCCAGTTAGTAAAAGGAAAAAGAAGCAATTCTCTCATAACAATATGGAAAGATCTCCAAGGTACATTTTTCACAGAAAAAGCAAGATGCAGAGGGACGTGTATAGAATGCTATTTTTAGTTTAAACAAGAGGAAAAATAAGAATATACTTTAATTTACTTTTTTTTAGCTCTCGATTGGATTATTTAGTTTACATTTTTAAACTTCAAGAAGCAATTTTGTAACACTCACTGTACACCAGACACTTTATAAGTACTAATGTAATTATTCTAACCTCAGGAGATAGGTATTATCATTACCCTCATTTTATAGATTAGGCCACTACAAACAGAGAGGTTATGTAGTAGTCCAACATCACACTGCTAGTCACACGGGGGAGCCAGCATTTAAACCCATGCCCTCTGACTCCACAGGTTATGTTCCTAAGCACCATATTAAGTGGACTAAGGAGAAGTTAATACATGGAGGGAGGGAGGACTGGGTGGATGAGAGAGTTGCATGCCTTTATGTATATGTAGTTTTGAACCATGTAAATGTGTTACCTATTGAAAAAATATTTAGAAAAAAATGTGTATGACTCTGCTCAAGTTACTTTCCATGCGAGAGGCAGACATCTCAAGATAAGTAATAGTAGAAGCTTGTAGTGAGGATTTACCAAAGTCTTATCTATAGTCCTCTGAGACTTTAGGGAGAGAATCCTTATTTAACCTCATGAGATAGCTTCCCTGCCCCCAACCTGGGCTGAGCAGCTAGAACTTGGGGCACTGAGGCTGGGGAGGCTGAGTGCACCAGCGCCCATGACCCACAGCTCTCCCCATTCGCAGACCCCTTCTTCAGGAGTGCCCAGCCCTGGATCGCAGCCCTGGCAGGGACCCTGCCTATCTTGCTGCTGCTTCTCGGTGGAGCCAGTTACTTCTTGTGGAGACAACATAAGGAAATAACTGCTTTATCCAGTGAGATAGAAAGCGAGCAAGAGATGAAAGAACGGGGATATGCTGCAACAAAGCAGGAAATAAGCCTAAGAGGTATCCAACAAGAGCAGAGAATCTAAGCCCCAGGCTTGCGTGCCCCAGCCTGAAAACCTCACCTCTTTCCCCCACCCTGGCACCGCATCATGTTTAAGGTTTATTTCCCGAAATACCCGCCTCACCCATAACAGTTCATCTTTTTTTTGTTTTGTTTTTGTTTTTTGTTTTTGGTTATTTTCCAGAGAGCCTCCAGGAGGAACTCAGTAAGTTTTCCCATTCCCCCAGAGACCCAGGCATGTCTTCCTATCCCGGCTTTGAGCACCTTGATGACTCTTCCCTGTTCATTCCATTGCAGAGAGGAGAAAAATCCAGTACTTGACTCGTGAGTGGCTCTGACATTTTCTCTGAATTCAAATCTATTACTCTCTCTCTGCTTTGTTATTTTCCAGCCCATAAGTCATATCCCAGGGTTGAAAAGTGATCTTGGATCCCTTTACCCAGAAAAAGAAAACAAGTGTGGCTCTTTGGAGAAACCACCCAGTGGTTTTTCTCTCTAGAAAAAAAAAAAAAAAAAAAAAAGAGGTCTTCAATCTCTTTGTACTAGGGGCTACAGACCCTTAAGCTCTAAGAAGCACTGAAGAATATCCAGGGTTACACTTCAAAAGGAAGAGGAAAGAGAAGAATGAGGTGCATTTTCTATGGCAGGAAACTTACTTGTTTTCCACAATCCAGAGGCTGTTGAAAGGAAAACAAGAATGAAAGATTTAAGAAATAAGAAAATCAGAAGAGAGAGCGGGAGAAAAGTGTGTCTAATAGAGAGGAGTAGCCACAGTGCTCAATTGGTACAGATTGATCATAATTGCTTTCAAAAACTAGTCCCTGAAATTGCTCTTTAAATTTCCCAAATTCTTTTTAGAGCAAGGTAAGAAATGATACAGATTGAGAAGGATGGATCTTGTACTCCTAGACATTCGCATATAGACATGGTGACACTTATGCCCAGTCTGACACTTCCCCTTCCCCGTCTGTTTCCATGTGATGCCAGGGTGAGGCATGATAGGATTTGCTTCCAGGGGACAGGGAGTCGTGATGGAGGCCAGAGCAGTGCTCAGCTCAGTAAGGGATGCATTAGCCTGGCAGACCAACAACTCCGAACATTCTCCAGGAAAATCAGGGGAAGTGGGTGGTTGTTTTCAATACAAACGGCCTAACCCTGTGGTCTTATCTGAGCCTTTAATGAAACCCACCACACAGGAGCCAGAGTGGGATCCTATTAAGCCTTTTGTCAGATCATTTCACTCTGCTCCAAACATTCCAGTGGACCCCATCTCTTTAAAAGAGAGCAGACGTTGTTCATCAGCCTTGAAGGTCCTGCCTGTCTGGCCACTGTTTCCCCTATGACCTTATTTCCTAATCTTCACCTCAACTCACTCTGCTCCTGGCACATTGGCTTCCTTGATATTCCATCAATACTCCGAGCACGCACCCACCTCAGGGCCTTTGCAGTGGTGATTTTGTCCGTCTGTAGCACCGTTTTCCAGATTTCTACTTGCCTCACTTTTTTCTCTTCCTTTAAGACTTTGTTTACATATTATGTTCTTAATGAGATGACATTGATCACTCCATGTAAAATAGAAACCTCTCCCCCAGCACCTTCCTTCCTCTTTACCCTGCTATATTTTTCTCTTACCTCTTAATACACCTTATACTTTCCTTATTTATTATGTTTGTTGTTAAATCTTTGCCTCCTCTACCTTCCACTAGAGCATAAGCTCCACAAAAACAGGGACTCTTGTCTATTTTGTTCACTAATGTATCCTCAGCATCTAGAACTGTGCCAATTCAAGAAATACTAGTAGAGTGGAAGAATCAGTCCTTACACTTTGGAGTGCTCGCTGGTCTGTGCGAAGACTGCATGTGCCCGTCCAACATGACGGCTCAAACATCTTATAAAGGCAGTTCCTTTTTTTTTCTCAAGTGCCTAGTGAGAGTATTATTGTTTCCTTTGATTGCCAAATGTTAATAATTAAAGCAAATAGGGTGATCAGAGTTAACTATTACTTGAGGTGTTT